TAAACAACAAAAATAGTTGAATGCTAAAAGATATTTAACGAATATATTCGAGTTAGGAGGCAGAGCAGCACGTGATCGCTGACAAGGCCGAAATAACTGTTTCACATTGACATTGACCACTCTGCTGGGTTCAAGCTCACCACTTTATTTTTATTGTTATTCTCATTAGACACCGTTGATTCTTAATTTTAGAGGTGTGTCTCCTATTGAACTACTCAAAATGTTGTGTCTTTTCTTAGAGGCATTAATTTTCTTCAATTAAAATAAAACATTATTTACATTAGTCGAAGACAGGTAACTTAGTCAAGTTACAGTACAGCAAAACTGCAGTCGCTATGAAACTCTGGTCCGAAAAGCCAATTGTCGGAAGTTATTGCTTACGATAGACGCGGCGTAGAAACACAAAATTAAATTCGTAACTCGACCTCTTTGACTAGTGCTTTGATGACAATACCATAACGTTTATTATAAAAAGACAGTAGGGTCAATCTTAATGACAAAAGCAATCAGTTCGGATAGTGTGCGTACTTGCCTAGTGAGGTAACTACCAAATACCAGACGAGTGCGAGTAGAATGCAGATCTGTGCCCAGTCACTGCGGGACTTAATAAACAAAGTCTTGGGCCACGCCGATGTATGGACACACCACAACAGTTTGACGTTTCGTGACTTGCCCGCGTCAACGGCGCATTGAATCTTGATCTGGCCGACCGCGATAACTCTGCATGTGTCTCATTACTTCACATCCGACTTTGAACCGTATCGCATCGTCTTTGAACCCTATTCTTGTTTGATAGATACGATTGATGTTTGGAGATGTAAGATAAGTGGAGAGCGAGATCGGTGCGTCGGGGCAGGGCTGAGCCCTTTCAATTATTCACAGGCGGAACAGTATTGTGGCACACGTATGTTGTTGCCCTCTGTCGAGGCGGACCTTATCGCCACTTTGTATGCTTCTACAAGCACGGACGTCGATAGCGCGACGTGGCTTTCAGTTTGCATCGAACCGGTGCTACTGGCCGCTTTGATTGATTCACAATACATCTCTCGATGTCTGCGACTACTGGGCATCGTAAATTTAAGTTCATGTAGGTATGTAGTTTTAACTCTCTGTCCTCTTTCTCCATATAACATGTATCTAACTCGAACTGTGCCTATAGTCTGAAATTCAACTCCATTGCATAATATTATTGTACAGATCAAATCCCAATGTATTAAAGCCTGGACAGAATACTTTGGTGAGAGGGCATTAGCAAATGGTATTTGATCCCTGGTTTGATCATGGTGAAATGAGCAGACAACAGATTGGCATCTTTCAAACTTCGTTCAGGACACATTCCTTTGAACAGCATTGCAGTTTTTGATGGGTTAAGGTGCATCTCCAAATTGTACTGAGTGTCGTGATATTGAAGATGTGTATTATCGTAACATGATGTGTCAGGGATGAGCTTGGAAGAGTCGCGCTGAACATTGGACACAATGCCAATCTTAGTGAGTTCGGTAAATGTAACATAGTCCTTAGTAACCCATCATCAAAGATGGCTAAAATAGTAATAACGTGGCTATTAAGCGTAGATCATGTTTATATTATAACTTTCGTGAGACATACTAAATTAATTATTGTTTTCAGTTTACTCACGTAACTGTTTGACGAGGTACTCGACTAGTTTAGTTAGATAGTAGCATCGCGACAGTCGCCGCGTCGCGAGTCGTTGAATGCTGCTCATGAATATGAGCCTCGAGCATTGCTTGAAACTAGTCGAGTTCCTCGTCAAACAGTTACGTGAGTAAGCCGAAAACATAATAATTAATGTAAATCATGTTGTTGAGCTCATCCTCATGAGAGTGACATTGTCATTTGTGATACAACCCTTAATAGTAAAGAAATAAAATGTAGGTAAATATAACTTTGGCTAAAAAGAGTCGTGAGGCATGAAGCCTGCACGTATGTAAATGCCTAGGAGTACCCCCGGGGCGGCGGGGACAGTCGCCAGCGAAATTAGAACTTATTCCGCCGTCTATTTTAATTACTTCTACCCCACCGATGAAAATAATCCCTTTGTAACGATTTTTATCGTTATTTTTAAACTTGGTCGGTGCTTGCATGGCTTGTAGTCATCCGTATCTTTACATATACCTATTTTCCAGAATAAAACCTGTTACTGTGCTAAGTAAGTGACAATATTATTCCCACAAATTGATGAACATTGAACATTTACTGTCTCTCGATACTAACACGTTTTGGAATGTCTCAATATATTGCTGCCACCGGTCCTAGGTGTGTTTGTTTACTGACTTTTAGATAGTCGCTCAACTGGTTCTTATGTTTGTCGTATAATATTGAATACATAATTTTGTTTAAACTTCGACATGCGTAGACATATTATGTATTTTGAATGACTAGATATATTTGTTTTGCTGAAGTTTTGTGCACCAAATTTTATGTGCATCAAAGTTTTAAGCCAGCAGTTAGTAAATAGTCTGGGTTCAACGTAAGTCCCCTTTGTTAAAATCGGAGTACGAATGAATAGAAAGCCCCTAAATTGTTTATTGAAGGTGAACCAGCGAGTCACATGAGCGCCACACCACTTGATCCAAACCGACATGTTTTTTAACAAGTCAAACCTGTTGTTAATAAGGCTAACTGCCTACGTTACTATTGTTGCCTCTTACTCTTTGTTGGAACGGCATCAACAAAAAAAAATCCGCATAACATTATGGCGTATTGTTTTGTTCATGTTATGATTTAATCTACATCTCTTTTTACGGATTGTAAGCGTTTAGACGATAATATTTTGTAAAGGATAACGTTTTATATATCTTCTGCGTTGTGAGTACTGAATTATTTAAATATTACGCAAAGGGGTCTCTCTATCATTTAAAGTAAAATTGAAATCGAGATTGTATTAAACCACTTGCCCACGTAATATTTTTAGAATAATCTAAAACTTTTAACTTGCGCCTAGAACACATCATTTTGGACCAATTGATATTGAAGTCGAAATATTTATATTATATATTATTCAATCGTGCAAGCCAATTAGTTCCCTTGGTAGCGATACAGTGAGGTTTCACCCGGTGTCCCCCACCGGAGGCCGGAAGGTCGCGTCTCCATCGAACCCTAATCAAGTAGAGTGATGAATGTGCCCTTAACAAACACATTTATCTTAGTTGGAGGTTAACTGAGAGGATCAAACACCCATTCTTATCGGGATCCTCATCGCGTGTTTCTTCCGGCTTTACGAACTTTAGGGCAAGAATCCTGTGGCAGGACAATACAACACTGTAGGTACATTGAAGGGTCCAAGTACAAAGCAAGCAAAAACTTACACCTTGATACTACGACAGCGGCGAATCAAAGACCTGGCCCTGGGTACACTTAACTGTATTATATTTTTATTTGTATTGTATACGAACCCATACTTTACACAATACACAGTTGACACCGTTCGTTACTACTATTTTAAAGCTTTTAACAAAACTTTCGTCTTTGCTAATAGTCGTTCCTTAAATGGATATTATTTGTATTTAAAGTCTTCGCTGAAGCACTGTAAATTACATAGCTTTGTTCATATACTTCTTTTCTTTCTACATCGTGCCAGGTATGAGTTGTATAGTATTAGAGGTATATTCTGATATCTAATGATTCAAGTACCTACGACAGAGCAGTAAAAAGCTGCTGCTTCAGTTCAAACCGTGTAAAATTAATTGTCCATATACAAAATATGAGATTAGTATGTATGTATGCAAGTATTAAATAACAAGCCGGTTGCATTATCTCTGCTTGTGCAAGGCGTCGCGCGGCCTGCACGTCGCAAGTTCAAGAACATCTCCGTGCCCCTCCTTCCCTCTCCTCACCCCTACTGTCCTGTCTGCCTCCGTCCTGTGTCTCGAGCCTCCAGCTTCCGCTCGCTCCTCGTTATGTAGCATGTAATAATCCCACTGCCGACATTCGCTATTATCTAGATAGGTACTACAAAAGTACAAATATGTTAAATCTTGTATTTACATTGCCAAAAACCTTGAATTCCCTCGACCCGCCCACTACGGCCATCTACGAACGCAACAACTCGGCAAAGCAGCATAAAATATGATTATTTTCTAAAGTTAATCGTAATTATAAGTTCGTTGACCCCGCTTAAAGATTAAGTAAAGGCTGTACGTAGTTTCTCACTGCTCACATCTCTGCACTTCCGCTTAGGGCGAACCTGTTACTATACGCCGACCGTCTGCCCGTCGGCTCTACTGAGTGCTGACAAATAATAATTATCCAACAGTATTATTGCCTGACCCAAGACTCCAAATTATGTCTGTACCGACTCATTTTCTAATACGTAGATATTAAACCACAAACTCATTTATATAGTCTTTTAAACTAAATAAATAAGTGGGTTTATTAAAATCCGTCTTATTAGAACTTGACTTGAAAATATAGTAACTTTAAATCTACCAGTGGTACTGGGAGCAGTTAGCGGTAGTTCTGAGAGGACTGGGGAGACCCAATCAACGACAACACCGGGTTTAGTTTCTCGCTAATATTGTACTATTTAAGTTTTTTTTTTTATTTTATTTATTAAATTTGTATTACCATGTGGCGTGGTACGGATTTGGAATTCACAAAATGTCATAACCCGTTACTTTGGAAATATATTTACGTACAAATAAATGGCGGCCGGACGTGATGTTAGTATAAAAGTTCCTTTAACAACTGCACCCGGCTCTTACAAACCGTTAAAATAATAAAATTACATTCATGTCAGCTCACGGGAAATCTGAATCATTTGAGCTTAACTTTACGGCACTCCCTGCACAGCAGGGAATTCACAAGCAGATCATTTTCAATACTTTTCTCCAGAGCCATTAACATGATGATGTATATTATTGTGTATTCTTGTGTACATTTCTTCCTTACTTTGTACCAGGGACAACCACCAGGTGTTAACTCATTATTGTCAGAGTTATATCTACTGAGCTGGTATGTATCTATAGTTTTGGTTGCAGGTATGGGTGGCGAGGCGTGCGCGTGCGCCCCGACGCCGCCGCGACTGCTGCCGGAGCCCGAGCCCGACCACCTGTACGACCACCACTCCTCAGAAGAGGAACTAGAGGTATTCCACCATCAGCTACTACTCCGCATGTTCCATTGTCACACCGTGTCTATGTTCTGTAACCTTGTCACTACTGTATTTTGCTTTGAAATTTACTTAGAATCATAGTCCACGCAAATAGTTCCAATTGGTAAAACCAATCATTTTTGTTAGAATGTCGACCGATACCTGATTATATTTCTGTTAATGTAGACACGAAAGTACTGCTGCAAACATTTCGCAATATAAATGATTCTGCACGAACCGTGTGAACTGGTGATCTAACAAAACAAACACGAGCTGCAGACTATGCTGAATACATTTCAATTAGTTCGCAACGATTTAATAATTGTCCTCAGATGTAGGTCTCACGCACAGCCTATAAATGTAATCTAGCTCGGAATTAATCTCAATTTCGACCTTCTGCCGCACCAGACGAGATCATCGAGGACCTTGCAAACACGACACGCGCCACACACGCGTGAGCTACACACGTAGCTACGTTTAAATCCTCTTTTGGAAAACTGTTAGGATATAATTTAGCATGGCTGCGGAAAGCTACTTCATGATTATCCGTTGTTACACACGACGTATTAAGAACAAAAATATGTGAATGTTTAGGTTAATAGTTAATGTTTCAAATAGAACAAGTAGGTAGGTATACAAACATAAAACTATGGAAAAAGCCCGCATAAGTTGAATTGTTAATATCCAACGAAAGGATAAATAATTTCTCTCTTACAAAGATAAGTACATCTATCCTTTCTTATTCTCACTGATTCACAACTATTTCAAAAAACTGCATGCACAACTTGCTTCATAAGTAACTCCTATACAGCCATCGCAGTATGCGCAAAGAAACAGCGAATACTATTGTAAGATGTAGTTAGATGCATAGACAATCGCTACAGAACAGTTGATGGTGTAATTGGTCGGCAGCGCTCAGCGGCGAATTTTTTGCAGATAGTCCTCATTGTGGCCTATTGTTGCTCACTGCTCGCTAAAGCGCACATCTCCTTGATGGGCTCATTATTTGTATCTTACTCTGAATATGACACCATACTTGATACATTTCGTTAGCAATATATTGTTCTATCAAATTTTTGGTTTTCGTACTGCTACTCCACACTTCAATTACATTTTGGGCTTTGTTGATTATTATCTTGTTTTGTAATTGGTCATCTATAAAAGGCGTTCGGTTGCGCAACACAGACGAGGTCCTGGAGCCATATCTCACAGTGGCGGACACTTCGCATGCCGCATTAATTCGCAACGACACGCCGCAACTAAATTACACCCGTAGACAACGTCTCCGCCCCGCACTGCCCACCTCACCTCCCTTATATCCCCGCCGCATCTCGTAGTGGCCATCACGGGGCCTATTTACCAGACGCTTAAAGTGTATGACTACGGTATACCTCAATATTTTCGAACGTGGATCCAAATACTGCTTCCTTAGGACTGTTTTGATCTACCTCCCTCTACATCACAAAACATTATAAACCTTCTTTATATGTTCTCCACATTATGGCCCTACGCTCATAATAATTAGTCTAAAACTATACTGAAATTCTATTTACTTAAGTAAATTTATTTCAATTCAATAAGAATAGCGCGAACACATACAGTTTACAACAGATCAGTCGTAAAATAGATGTTGTTATGTGCGTCACTTGAGACTGCATCGCGTGCTGATGATGTTAGCAGATAATTCCGCGACGGAAACACAGGAGCGATGCAGTTATATGACGTGAAGAGATTAAAAAGTTAGGAGAGCAGGTGAACGCCCTCCAGCGAGGCGAGCGGGCGAGCGAAAATTGGTGCGAGCAAAAAACTTCCGACCTCATCTACCCAGCTAGCGTCATACGTTCTACTAATTTGAATGTTTTACTGCACTTTTTCTGTACCTACTTATAAATGATGTAATTCACTTGCATTGTGGAACTACATTACACTATTATTTTGCCGTTAATTAAGTCTATGATGAAATTAATAGCTAGGTTATAGGTACATTAGTGTACGTAAGGTAACGTGCACTGGAAACTGGAAATACTAAACGATGGCAATGAGTGGCGCACGCTAAGTAGCCAAGTGTAGGCGCGTTCTAAGGGTGGCTGTCGTCTTCTATTGTTGCAGAATGGTCTTTCCTATAGCTACACTCTGTGGCCGTTTATCTGCTCTGCAGAATAATGGAACCATCAAGTTGTCTCCCGCTAAGTTTTGCATCGCATTTGTGTACGAGCTGCGGCTGTCCATTAGTTGCAGCTCTCGACCGCCCAAACGTCGCTCACGGCATTGTGTGCAAGCCCACTCGAGGCAGCACAGATGAGCTGCACTATTTCAATAAGCTTGTCACTTTTGGTGTGCGAGGCCAATTAAATAGCTGTGAAGTGACAAGCTTCTAATTAGATCGCGTGTCAGAATAACCGCTCCAGTGGTTTGTAAACAAATTCGGTAATAAAGTCAATACAATTATTTTCAATTATTACGTTAAGCTGGAGCGCGAACACGAAGTCGTCGATCGATATGATGCCGGCTGCCATTGTTCAGTAGCGGGCTGTCGGCTGTCGGCTGGCGGCTGTCGGCTGGCGGCTGCCGTGCTGCACACGCTTCGCGTCTTCAGTTGACACTAGCTCGCTTCTTTCTTTTTCAGTAACAAGACAAAACAATCTGTGAGTTTTTATTCATTTTTTCCTGTCTGCCGCCTGCATAACATTTGTTTATCTTGCGCTTGGTTGGAAATTAGAAATTCTTTTGTCTCTGTACTTTTTTAATTGCAAAAAGGAAACGGAAATTGCTTTCTAAAGAAAGAAAAACGTCGTGTGATAATATTAAATGCGTAAAGCCATTCCAGCATTGTTTGCTCTCGCGAAGTATTCAGCATGGCCGTGCAAAGGAGAGGCTTATTAACGCGAGACGAGCGCACCTCGCGCGGCGCGCAGCGGGCTGCATCATGCCTCGCAGCTTGGAGCCGGCTCTCCCTTGTTTGTTTGGATCATTGAACAGTTCTACTCGATGTTCGAACGCTCTAAAGATGTACCTGCACAATGTATTTGCCATGTTAAATGAAAGTGTTAATTCCTCGGTCAAAGGTACGGGAAGTCATTTTAAACTTAATACGTTGGATATCTCTAACTAAACATGGGCATTTATAAATTTTTTAGCTTATGTAGGTACCTATAGCTTGAGACTTTGAATAGTTTTCTTCTTCATTCATTTTTATTATGTACTACTTTATGGTTGCTAGATTACTTACTATTCAGAGAAAAAGTATTAGAAAGCCTTAAATCTGAACATTCAGATGCAACGTTGAGCCCAACACCGGAACTATCGACAGCTAGATGTACTCATAACCGCGGTTCATTTCTCGTCCCGCTAGTAGTGGCAGTCATTGCTCGGCCCTCACAAAAGCGACGCGGTTTTTTCACCGAAACCCATCCATAATAAACGAGCGGCCGGCCGACTGCGCCGCGGAACTTTCCTCCGTGGCTCGTAGGTCCGTCCGTCGCCAACAGTACTCGGCGCGACTTCTCAACGCGTTTCTAATTACACGCTGAAATATTCAACAGCGCCGCGTACTTTTCAGATGAGACTTTAGCTCTTGTACTCTTTCTTAAATACTTGCTCCTTTTGGATATGTTACCATCCAGGCGTCTGGTTTCATTATGGTGCTTTGATAAAGCATGCACTGTGGGTACAAGGTTGTACAGCTTGGATAAATCATGACTATAAGATTTGGTCGGTTTAATTAATCTGTAATATAATATTTATTTTTATGTATTTGCTTCTGTTCTCATTGTTATAGCTATGGATATTGTTAGGTCCTCTTTAACATTGCCGATTAGGTAATAGCTACCTCTAAACTTCTTAATAAACTGATTATAAAGATAAAGATATATTTATTTAGTAAAACATGAGTAATTACAATGAAGGTGTTTTTTTTTTATTAGTAAAGAGTCTACATGTTTTGCCATTGATGGCGTACTAAATCAATTACTTTAGGCAGATAATACCAATCTACAATCAATAATTATACAAAATCAAATGTCAAAGTTTGAATGAAAAAAAAATTATAATGTAAATGAATAACAATAAAAATAATAATTTAAAAATCACAAGTCAAACAGTTTAAATTATGTCAATTGGTGAACAAAATATGTCAAAATTAATAAACAAGATGTCATTATTATAGATAATAAGATAATAAACAATATGTCCACATTCAGGCTAAATTAAATTATAGTTACAAAAAAAGTAATAATTATAAGGAAATAATACAAATAAATTGAACTCACAATCAATGCAAAGTATCATTTATAAATTCATCTACGCTGTAGTAACATTTTTCAAGTAATAGCATCTGAAGAGATTGTTTAAATTTATGTATCGG